CGGGCAGGACGGTGCAATAAGCCGAGCTGGAGTCGCCCCGGCTGCTAAATCCGCACGGTTAATCCCGGCAGTGGCTGGGCTAAGCCAGCCCCAGCTCCTCCCAGGGATATTTCCCGGCTTGACCTGCCTGGAGTTTTACCTGGTAGCGTAACGCCATTTGTTTTGGTAAAACAATATCATGAACGTGCCACGGAGAACCGCAGTGAGGCTCGTTTTGTCGGGACAAGGCCAAAACGAGCTCCCGAAGGTGAGTGAGCTCCGGAGGCTGAGTGTCTGGTGCAGCCGACGGAGGGTTTTCCAGGCTGGCCCCGTGCCGGCACTGGGTCGGCAGGAGCCATCCAGGATGGAGGGGACGTTGGATGGTCTCGGCCGTGGACGAGTCGGCGGGGTCGCTGACGGCGCTTGGGGTGCTGTGCTCGGCATCACGCCGGGCAGGTGGGCTGCGTGCCCCCTTCCAGCCCCTGGGAGGGTCTCCTGGCCGCGCAGGCAGGGTCATCCCAGCCTGGGGGAAGAGGCAGATCTGCCTGGACCTGGCAGCGCCGGCTCTGCCTTGCCGGGAGGAGGTAGCCAGAGCCATTGTCCCTGGCTCCAGCCAGCGTTTGGGCCAGCATCTGTTGACCAGATGTGCGCCCGGAGGAGCAGGGGGGTGACGGCAGTGCGTGGGCTCCATCCCTGCCAGGCAGTGACCTGCCAGGACCGAGCAGAAAGTCCTTGGGGAAGACTGTCCCAAATGCCCTCTCCAGCAGTCTTCCACCCGGCCGCCCCAGCAGCTCCCAGGGGGTTTGGAGCCCGGCCCAGGGCACCCAGGTCATGCCGGCGGCCGAGCATGGGGCTGCCTGCGGGAACGACTGGAGCTCACGATGACGGCGATGGAGCTGGGCCAGCGTGGCGAGGGACAAAGCTCAAGGCCTGCGGGGACAGACGGACCCTGCTAGCGCTCCAGGAGTGCTCCGGTGCGTGGTATGCCCAGCTTGTGCACTGACCGGGGTGGCACTGACAAGGGGCTGCGGGGAGCTGGTTCCCAGTTCACACTGCTCGGGCAACAGCCGAAATCACTTAGCAGGAATGTGGCGGGGTGGGTGTTACGGGGAAAAAGGAGTCTGGCTGGTTTTTTACGACTGTGGCTAACGGTTGGGGCTGTGTGAACGCACAGTCCTGGCACCTGGGGGGGAGCCAGCCCCTACCCCACGCTGGGAGAGCGTCCTGGGGAGCAGCACGCAGAGCCCCTCTCCGGGGCTTTCCAGCCTCCTCCCCTGCGGGAGCTGCATGGGGGGGATGCTGCTTCATCCCACCAGCAGCCAGGTCTGGGGACTGCCTGGGCTGCCCCGCAGGGCTGTTTCCCCCGGTCTGGCCATGTCACCCACAACAGGGCTGTGCTTGGTGCTGTGTGTGCAGCACGGGGCGCTACCGTTGGCACAGGCTGGTGCTTGGTGGAGTGCCGTCGGGGCAGTTGCAGACGCCGCAAACCCTGCTGTGCCACGCTGCTTCTCTGCTGCCTGCTCCCCGCAGCGGCAGCAGTGTCCCCAGCTCTGCTTTCCCCCCCGGGAAACCACAAGGCACAGGGCATGTGTCCCCCATCGCCCCCCTGGGCATCACACCGGCACGGCGCATCGTGGCAGGCCAAATGCTCTGAGGAGCCCCTGGGGGGAGGCGTGGGGCAGCACCCGGCCCCTGTGGGCAGGGTGCACGGAGGACGGTGCAGCCGCTGTGCACGGTGCTGCTGCCTGTACAGGCAGGTGGTTTGGGAGCGATGCCCTGCCAGAGCCCCTGCCTTCACTGTCACACCGAGCCCAGCGCTGCCAGCACCTGCGTGCTCCTCTGGACAGGGCGTCGGCAGGGGACGTGGGCACTGGCAGGGACCGTGGGCACCTGCAGAAACCGTGGGCTTTTGCAGGGACTGTGGGTGTTAGCAGGGGAGGTGGAGCGATAGCAGGGCACGTGGTGCTTGCAGGGAGGACGTGGGCATTAGCAGGGGACAGCAGAGCAAGGGCTTCCCCATGAAGGATGAGGGAAAACGGGTTTGGGAGAAAGGAAGGAGCCAGAGAGAGGGTGGGATTCAAACCCTGCCCGTGAGTGGGATGGGGTGGTGGGGTGTGGGGAGGTGGGAGATGGGGAGGGGGGGGAGGGGGTGCTGGGGCTGTGGAGTGGCCCCTCCACCCATGGGGTGGTGGTGTGGGGAGGTGGGAGATGGGGTGCTGGGGCTGTGGAGTGGCCCCTCCACCCCACTTCTAGCTCACCCCCATGCTGGGCTGCATCCGCGCCTCCCGGGTGTGTGTGTAGGTGGATGGCGCTGTGCTCGCCAACGAGCCTTGCCTAATGAGCTCCTGCCCAGGCAGGCAGGACCTCAGGCATCCCCTGAGGGTGAAGCCCATCCTCTCCACCACGCTCAGCTGCAGTGCCACTGTCAGGCACAGCCCCTGTGCCGGGCTGTCCCCACTGCCTGCCCAGTTGCTGGTGGGGAAGTGGCACCCAGGGCTGCTGTCCCCACGGGTGGCCACTGGCAGCCGAGTGGCATGGGGAGCATGGGATGATGATAACGAGCTCAGCAGGGCACTGCATCTTGGGTGCTACCATGAGGGCTGGCCTGGGGTCGCTCTTAATTAACATCCTCATTAAACAGAGTTAGCAGAAGGGCAACAAAACCTGCCTCTGGCCCTAGGGTGTGCTGTCGCAGAGGGCACAGCCGTGTCCGAGTCCCCGCTTGGCCTTGGTGGGCCTTGGTGGCTCTGCATGGGAAGGTGCCAGCAAGCGATGCCAGGAGAGGACGGACCCTGGTGTGGGGCTGGTGCAGCGGCATAGTGGTGATGCCAGCGGTGGTTTGCATGGTGGAGCTGGCCTGGCTTGGAGAGGACGGTGTCCACAGCCCTGAGTCCGGGGTGAGCTGCAGCAGACCCGGCAGCAGGAGCTGCAACCTCTGCATTGGTGCCAGAGACATGTCCTGTCCTGCCACAGGGGCACCCCAGCACCTTGGGGGGTACCGGGCTCTGCTGCAGTGTCACCCCTCCCTCTCCGCAGCGGGACCCACCGCTTCCCCTGCGTTAGGTCGCAGCCCGGCGCGGTGGGCTGGCAGCCGCCTCGTCCCGCCATCCCCCGGGCTGCAATTAGCAGCCTGACCCCGGGCTGACCCGCCCCCCCGGCGCGGGGATGGGGCAGGATGCAGGAAGCGCCGAACAAAATGTGCTTCAGCTGAGCCGGATGGCGGGCTCGCCGCGAGCGCCGCCGGCC